AAGATGCTAACACGGGTGAATCGCAGCGCTACTACAAACACAATCTAGCCCGCACGTGGTGGCGGGCGCCCTGTAGCTCGCCCGCAGCTACTCGGGCAGGGCCTGAGCAGGAGACACATCGGCGTGAACCGGAGCAACCCGGGAGGTGGAGCTTGCAGTGAGCCGAGATCGCGCCACTGCACTCCAGCCTGGGCAACAGAGTGAGACTCCGTTTCAAAAAAAAAAAAAAAAATAGCAAGGAGGTCAGTATAAAGAGAGAGAATGTATCAGAAGGACTAAATTAAGTGTTAAAGCCAGAATTTAGAAGAATATGAATATACAAGAAAGTAAGGGTTGAAGAGTGACAAACCAGGCTATCTGAGAGTCTATGTATGAGCCATCAGATTCAGAGAGGGCCTTTTTGACTTTAATGATCAGAAACAGTAGCAAGTACAAAAAAGCCCCAGTGTCCTATGTTACCCATCTTCCCCTTCCTCCCAAGATGGGTCTTTCTTCTTTACCTTGCTCCTGTTGGGATTCAAGTTCTGGAGATTCATACTTTAGCTGGGCTTTCATGGACTGGAGGGGCATACTGGGTTCTCCTTCTTTTCCTAGAGGTACCATCTTCTGCAAGAACATTTCATGTTCCCCAGTGTGGGCTGAGACCTGAGGAAAATGAGATGTAGCTGACAGACTCACTCTGATAACAGAAAACAAAAAATATACATTTGTGGCAGTGGCTGAAACCTGAAATGACCATTTTCCCAGATATAAGCCTGCCATAACCCTACCCATTCTTCAAGGCTAATATAAATGTCACCTGCTCTGGGGAATCTTCCCTTCTACACCCAGATGTAATTTCTCCTGTTGTTACCGCCAAAGTATATTGGTTGTGCCACTTTTACTTCTTTGTCTTATGCTCAAAGAAGTGGAGAAAGGAAAGGGAGAAAGACAAAACAAAGGAGAGAAGAAAAAGGTGAAAGAGGCAGAAAGGAGGAAATAAGATAGAACTTAGGGTAAAATAAAACATTAAGAGAGACAGAGGAAAAGGAAAGGGGATATGTAAAGATAAATAATGTAGAGAAATAATAAAAAAAGAAAGGCACCCTTGGGATGCTATGATGGGAGGATTACTTGAGGCCAGGAGTTTGAGACCAGCCTAGGCAATACAGCAAGACCCCATCTCTCCAAAAAATTAAAAATTATCTGGGCATGGGGGCGCACATCTGTAGTCCTAACTACTCAGGAGACTAAGGCAGGAGGATTGCTTGAGCCCAGTTCAAGGTTATAGTGAACTATGATTACACTACTGCACTCCAGCCTGGGTGACAGAGACACCGTATCTCCAAAAACAAAACAAAACAAAAGGTATAAGGGAACAAATGAAGAGAAAGAAAAGAAAGAAGGTGGGAGGAGAAAGAAAGGGAAAAGAAGGGAAGGAGAGAAATCTCTTCCATATTCATTCCTAGGCTGTTCCCAATAGTCTCTGCTCTTCTGAGGTGCCCATCCCACTTCTCTCTGGGAAGATTATCTTATTTTCTATTTATCCAAGATCACAATCATCTCAAAAATCATCTACTATTCATTTTATCTATCTCCACCCTCATACTCCTCTCCATTTCTTCTATCTTAGAGGATGATGTCTTCTCTATTTCAAGGCTCACATCTCTACTTTTGCCTTCAATCCCATCACTTTTGGCTTCCCTCTGACCCTTGCTCCCTCAGTTAACTAACTCATTTATTCAGCAATTTCAGTCACTGGGTGGCTGCCATTCTTCCATGGGCCTATTTCCTCTTGCATTTAAAAATAACAGGTTTCTTCAGCCAGGTATTGTAAAAAGCAGGGATATGGAATCACATGGATTACTAACTCTCTCTCTTAGTCTAATAGCTCTGTGACCTTGGGCTAGTTACTTACTCTCTCTGAGATTATAAATAACATTTGTATAAAGCACCTTGCACAGGGCTTGGCATACAACAGGCTCTCAAATTACTCCCCCATTCTCTTCAAAGGTTAAATTTTATAAATAAGAAATCACCATATACTGCCTCTATTTCCCTGATACGGTTTCATTTTGTAGACTCAGTCTTCAGAATAAAAGCCAGAGTCAGCAAAATGCTATCTCAGATGTACAGAAAATGGTGTTTTGATATCTCACATTTTGAAAAAAGAAAGCGGGGAGAAAAGGCCAGTACTGTGAACTGTGCCTTCTATTCCTGGATCTCTGGTCAGGCCTCAGAAATCAAGCTGTAAACTCCATTAGATGCCCCCTGCAGTGCTTTCAGAGAAAGAACTGGTTGGCAATATAGATTCAGCATATTTAAAACCAAATTACTTTTGCCTGCATCTAAGAATCCCATTCTTTGTACCTCTCTAGCTACTCTGTTTCTACTGCTCATTACTCCCTTCATGATCTCATCCTATCTTGTGGCTTTAAATACTATGCATATTCTGAAAAGCCCCAATTCTGTAGTTCTAGCACAGACCCTTCCACTGAATTCGTTTATTATATCTAGTTGTTTGCTCAACTTTTCTGCTTGGGTTCTAATAGGAATCTCAAAATTAACATGTCCAAACCCTGTTTTTTGTTTGTTTTTTGTTTTGTTTTGTTTTGAAGCGGAGTCTCACTCTGTCATCCAGGTTGGAGTGCAGTGGCAAGATCTTGTTTCACTGCAACCTCTGCCTCCTGGGTTCAAGCGATTCTCCTGCCTGAGCCTCCTGAGTAGCTGGGATTATAGGTGCGCGCCACCACACCAAGCTAATTTTTCTATTTTTAGTAGAGACAGGCTTTCACCATGTTGGCCAGGCTGTCTTTGGACTCGGACCTCAGGTGATCTGCCCATGTCGGCCTCCCAAAGTGCTACGATTGCAGGCGTGAGCCACCGTGCCTGGCCCAAACCCTAATTTTTGATTCCTGTCCTTCCACCCCAAACCCACTTCTCTCCCAGTCTTTACCATCTCTATGAAAGACAAATCCACTCTATCTGATATTCAGACCAAATAGTTGGGCATAATCCTTAACTTACTTTCTCTCATATTCCACATTCTATATAAAAACAAACCCTGTCAAGCTCTACCTCCAAAATACATCCAGAATCCAATCACATTTTACCACTCCCACTGCTACTATTCTAGTCCAAGTCACCAATATCTCTTGCCTGGATTATTGCTTATTATTATTGCTTCTACAATGGTTTCTTTGCCTCGAACTTTTACTCCTATGCCTACCCCAGCCCCATTGTGGAACTTTCTCACAGAAGCCAGAGTGACTATTTTAAAATTCAAGTCAGATTATGTCTCTCTTCTGTTCAAAATTCTCCAATGACTTTCCATCTCAGAATACAATTCGAAATTCTTATAATTGCTACAAGTTCTGACATAATATAATCTTATAAGCATTTATTTCATCTCCTCCTTGACAAACACATCTCTACTGTGATAAGTAGATTCTCACTTTAAGACCCTCTGCCTGAATGCTTTTATCCCTGATAGCTGTATGGCTTGCTCTTTTCATTCAGATTTCTCCTGTAAATGTCACCTATCTGAAAAGCCTTCTCTGACAAGTCTACAGAAAACAGCACAATCCCCACTTATTTCACTATTCCTTTTCTCTGCTTTTATTGTTGTTGTTGTTTGAACAGAATTTATTACCACCTACATCTTGTATGTTTGTTGTTGTTGTTTTTTTTTTTTTTTTGGAGATAGGGTCTCACTGTGTCTCGCAGGCTGGACTGCAGTGGTATAATCACGGTTCACTGCAGCCTCGATCTCCTGGGCTCAAGCAATCCTCCCACCTTAGCCTCCCAAGTAGCTAGGACTACACGTGCCTGCCTGGCTAATTTTTGTATTTTTTATAGAGATGGGGGTCTCATTATATTGCCTGGGCTGGTTTGTTGATTTTTAATTTACTATCTGTCTCTCCTCAGTAGACCAGAATCTACATGAGAATAGCAACCCCCTGTGTTTTGTTGGCTGTTGCATTCACAGTGCCTAAAACAGTACCTAGTCCAAACAGACATACAGTAAATATGTACTTAATTATTTCCTACAGTCTTTAACTTTGTTAGGCGTGTCTCCATTATACTAGCCTTTCAAGCTTAAAATCCCTAGTGTTTAGCTTAGAATACATTGCTCTGTAAAGAGTTCTCCATTGGTTCTTCCTTCTTTATTTAATAGATCTAATCTGTCATCACTTCCAAACAATTCTTACCTAAGACATGCTTCATCCTTGGTAATCACACTTTCATGATCCTGTTTCTTTTTTTTTTTTTAGGCAGAGTCTTACTCTGTTGCCCAGGCTGGGGTACAGTGGCACAATCTTGGCTCACTGCAACCTCTGCCTCCTAGGTTCAAGTGATTCTCCTGCTTCAGCCTCCCAAGTAGCTGGGATTACAGGCACGTGCCGCCATGCCCGGCTGATTTCTGTATTTTTAGTAGATACGGGGTTTCACCATGTTGCCCAGGCTGGCCTTGAACTCCTGACCTCAGGTGATCCACCTCCCTCGACCTTCCAAAGTGCTAGGATTACAGGCATGAGTCACTGCGCCTGGCCTCGTGATCTTATTTCAAACTTAGATCTTTTTGCCACATGTTCCTACCCTCTCTATTGTATTTTGTATCACAGTGTTAGATTATACTTCCATTTCATTATTTCCCTAAGTTTCAAACTCTTTATATCAGGGTTTCCTAGTGTTGGCTCTACTGACATGTTGGTTTAGATAATTCTCTGTTGTCTGGGGCTGTTCTGTGTGTTGTAAGAGGCTTAGCATTAGCCTTGTCCTCTCTACCCACTAGATACTAGGAGCACCTCCCTGAGTTATAACAACCAAAAATGTCCCAAGACATTGCCAATGCCCTCTGGGGCACAAAATTGGCACTGGTTGACAACCACTGTCTAATTTTAGTATTAAAAACAAAACAAAAAAGTTCTATATAATTTGGTTCTCTTTTACATCTTACAATTAGTAAAGCTCATTTAGACTCAAGAAGAAAAGGTTAGGGGCGTCTGTCTACAGAATAAAATCTCAATTCCAGAGGTTGAGATTCAAGGTCCTGGACACTATCTCAACTCTTCTACTCAGAATTCACCTTTCAAACCTAACTGGGCTTTCTACTACTCAAAGAAACACAGAACCCCACCCTGCTCTCCTCACTAACTTTCCATTGTACTCCCACATCTCATTCCTCTGAAATAGTTAATTTTTCCATTTTAAAACCCTGTAATGGAGTCAGAGCAATGGATATATCTGCAAAACCTTAATTCTTAATTATTTGTATTGTGCAACAGAGTGATGCCCCTCCAAGAGACTGCTTCCCATCCTGCTACTTTCATCTCTCTGATACCTTCTCTTGTCTTAGAAGTTTTCTAAGATGAGCAGCATATTTATCAAACAGAATTGTGTAGCTTAATAGAGAAATATAAAATCCTTCCACAGAAAAGTTATAAATAAGTTGGAACCACATTAGCCAACTTTCCCTGAAACTCATGCCCCTTTCTGATGCATCAAACTGTCAAAAAACATGCTTTGTGAAAAAATGGCTGTTCTTCACTCTGGCCTAGAAATCCACAATTTATCTTTTCTCAAACAGAAGTCACATCTTTTTTCTCACCTGCTCTCCTGGCTCATCCAATTCTCTCTCTAAATCCTCCAGCACAGTCACCACCTCCTCGCCACTCTCTGGATGCTGCTCCTGCACCCAGGCCTGGAGCTCCTCAGGTAGGATGGTCAGGAACTGCTCCAGCACCAGCAGCTCCAGAATCTGTTCTTTGGTGTGGGTCTCTGGCCTCAGCCACTGATGGCAAAGTTCTCGGAGTCGGCTCAAAGCCTCACGGGGACCAGACGTCTCCTGGTAGCAGAACTGTCTGAAGTACTGGCGGAAGACCTCTCTGCTATGGGTGTTGTTTTTATGCAGGTCCCAATCCTGTCTGGTGGTATACTTCTTCTCCTCTATCTTTACTTCCAAACGTTCATCCTGGTCCATGTGGGCCTGGATAGCCCAAGTAGATGCCATTTTAGCTGTGCCAGAACTACCGGTGTTTCAAGTAAGATCTCCCCTGGAAAATTTATTCCTGGACAGTCCTGAGGAATAAGCCATCATTATTAACACAAACTCCACCATAAAGTAAAACTGCAAGTTCTGAGAACTTAACTATGATCTTTGAAATCTGGCCTCCAGGTTAATGTACGATACTTACTCAGAAAAATACTCTGATAGAAAAGACTTAAGATTAGACCAATTTAAAGAGAAAGACTAAGGAAAGGTGCCAAGTTGTTTCAGGACTTTAAGAAGAAGAGTAAGACTTGTTAGTAAACTTATTCTCATTTGGTCCTAAATGAAAGACAAATGGAATAAAACTAACATTTAGATCAAGTAAACAATAATGATAAAAGGTTAGGACATCCTTGATTAGTTACTTTTATCTTTTGAATGTCCAGATGTCTGGTAGAAACCATGAAATCACAAAAGCAACAAAGTCATGTAAATTTATTTCCTCAGGGACTTAAACTTTCCGCTCCTTATTCTTCATTTATAAAGTGAGAAGGCTGAAGAGGTTACTCTTTAAGCCTTCCCTCTATCCTCGTGGTCTGTGATTATAATCTGAAGTGAGGAAGGCCCTGGGACGCCGGCCAGCGTCTGTGAACCACCACTGTCTAGAAATGTCGGTAAGCGCTGAACCCAAGGATACACCGCCGAGGCAAACGCGGAAGGTAGGTATGGGCCTTACAGCACGGAATTGCTGCAGACTGGGAGCCGATCCCTCATCCTAGTCTCCCAGCGCACTTTGGGGAGGGAGAGCTTCCCGCGGATCCACCTGGGTTTGGGAGGACCAGGGTCCATTCTGCACCGGCCAGAGCCGAGGGGCCCAGCAACTAGAATACAGCAATCTGCCGCCCACCTCCTCGCAGCATACAGAGCACAACATCGCTCACCTGCGGCCCCCCGGGCCAGAAGAGAACTCCCCGCTAAAGGCCTCGAACCCTTTTGGGACCCGGAACCCATCAAAAGTGACCCACAAAGGCCGGAAGCGGCCACGGGAGGGCTGAGAACCAACCCGCGTGGGGCGCACTTCCGCGGCCGCTCTAGGAAGGGGGCGAAAGGGGCTTTCAACTCGGTAGTAGTGTTTCCGCGCGTCTACGTGAGAGGAAGGGTGATGATGGCTCTCAGACCCGCGGGTAAACGGAACGGGTTTATCTTTCTCCTCTTCTTTACTCAGCCATTGTCCACACTTCCCCCGGCCCGATGGGTGGTCAAGGCTTGTAGAACTGATCTTAAGACAGGGAAATCCCTTGCGTCTCCATTCACTTTGGGATTCTGTGTCTCTGAGGTTAGAGATGCCTCAAAGGGATGTTCTCGGGGGACCTTCCCCCGGGGAGCTTCCCAAATCCGCGCTTAGCGGTGGCGAAGGGATTTCTTCCATACAGACTTCTCAAGGGCCAGCGGGCTGGTTTCTGCCGGCTATTTCGCCATCCACGATCCTCTTGATGTTCTCTTTTATGCGCCGATGTATGATTAGATGTCAGAAAACCCGGTTCAATGGAAAAACTATAAAAAAAAAAAAGGATTATTTAGTAAATTAGCAAGATATAAAGTTAACACACTAAAATCAATGGCCTTCATATATGTGAATAATCAATGATAACGAGTTACGAGATATAATGGAAGAGAAGACTATATTTACAATAGCAACAAAAAATTGAAACTAGGAATAAACTTAACAAGAAATGAACAAAACTTCTATGGAGAAAGCTTTAAAAAGCTCCTAAAAGGCCAGATGTACATTTAAACAAACAGAAAGCAATATGCGGTTCTTAGAGAGACTCAAAGAGGTCAGTCCTCCCTAAATACGTATGCAACTCTAGTATTCCAACAAAAATATCAACAAATATTGTTCTGGAATTAGATAAACTGATTATAAAGTTCAAGTGGGAAAATAAGAATAGCCAGGAAACCCATGAAAAAGAACAATGGTGAGGGTCAGCCTTATCAGATACTGGAACATACCCATATGATTTTATTGTATTAACAGAGAGAAAGAATAGACCAGAAATAGATCCAGGTATGTAAGGATATTGAGTAAATGATGAAGGGGACACCACATGTCAACAGGGAAATGAAGAACTTAGAAGTTGTGCTGGGATGACAACCATTTGTCAAAGGTAAAACTGGATTTGTATTTCCCACCACACATCACAATAGAGATAAATTCTAAATGGATCTGAGATCTAAATGTAAAAAATCCACCTATACATGTATTAGAAGAGAACATGAACAATAATTCTAACACGTGGGAATGGGGAAACATTATCTAACCGTATGACTCAAAATCCAAAACTCATAAAAATAATAAATCTGACTACATGAAAATAAAATGTATTGCTTGTCAAAAAAAAAATAATAATAAGGAAAGAAAAAGACTTGCAACATATCACAGGCAAGAGCTAGTTTTCCAAATATCTAAAGAGCTCCTAAAAGTTGAGAATAACCAATAATCCAATAGAGAAAATGGCTAAAAGAAATAAATAGCTAACAGAATAAGAAATGCTAGCAGCCCTCAAACATCTGTAAAGATGTTCAACTTCGCTCAAAATATGAACATACAAATTAAAAACTATGCTGACTGAGGTACCATTAGTCATCAGAATGGCAATGGTCCAAAAGTTTGACAGCATACTCTACTCAAGAGGAAGGAGAAACTCCTAACATTCTAGTGGGAATGCAAAATGGTACCACCCATAGGTAGGAAAGATAATACTACACAGCAGAATTGTATATGTAAGTTTACCCTTTGTTCCTGCAATACCACTTCTAGAAATCCATCTCAAAGACACTTTGACATGCACAAGATTAAATGGGATCGGGGGAGGCCTGATTTTTAAAATGCCAAATATGAGGGGATGAAATTGAGAAATAGGAGGAAAAATGGATCAGGGCTTCATCATTGATTGTATGGGGGTTAAGATAACCAAAAATAGAAGCCTGGTATCATCAGAGGATGGTGGTCCCTCCACCAAGACAGGGGACTAAATGACAAGTAGCATTTTGAGAAGAAATTTATGAGCACAGCTTGGCCATGTTAAGTTTGATATCCTAGGGAGCATTACACTGTAGATGTTGCTATTCGTTAACGGATTGGTTTAGGGATTTGTGGGTCTAGGAGTCATGAGAAGAGAGTTAGCTTGAGATCCATACTTTGGAGCCTTCCACCTTTCAGTAATGGTTAAAACAATTAAGAGATCTCATGAAGTGTGTGGTGCCAAAAGACAGCCTAGGACAGATTTCTGGAGTGCCCTTTGCCCCCTACTGCCAGCCCTGTAGATTCTTCTTTCAGGGCATCTGGGGAGAAGGGAGAGAGAGATCCCTCCTCACACCGTGTCAGGGCTCAAATGTCACCTGAAGCCATAGAACATCTCAGAAAACAACAGACAGAGAAATTATTGGACAACAACCTGAATTCAACCTGGAAGTGAACCTCAAGCTCACTTTGCGGTCCTTTTCTAGGCATCTTGAAGGATTTTTGCAATGCAGTCGTTTTCCAAGTTTCACTTGGCATGACTTACTGAAAGAAGCTGATATGAAATTCTCACTTAAAAAGTCAACTTGCACCAAGAATGATTGACTTGGCATAGTTCCCAGGGACCTAGGTGAAATAGTCAACTTTTTGTCACAGATGCAACGTAGCCACAAGAAAAGAGCATCTAAGCACAAAGAGAGCTTAAGACAGAACTCTGAGTAAAACCAATCTCCGTCTTTTGACACTAGAGAAACACAAGGATATAGAGACAAAGAGCAGACAAAATGCATCTCTAGAATATCTTTATTTTAAACAATTTTTGTCTAACGTCATTACACTTTTCGGCCATTTTACTAACCAAATAACTCTAACATTTAAAAAGGAGAAAGTTTCCTGTGATATATTGATAAGCCTTCTAACTGCACTTAAAAGGGAAAAGAAAGCAGATGTTGAGAGCTAGGACTCAAAGACTAAGAGAAAAGGTAAAACTGTAATATTGGAAGCCCACTTTGTTACTTCATGAAAATGAAAGCATGTATAAACTTGATTAGCTCATAATTGTGCCAGGTTTATTTAGTGAGGTTGAAAGGGGATGGAGACAATTGAGAAAAAAGTTATTTAGGAAAAGATTTCAAAAAAGGCTTATTTTTCCTTCAGACTTTAAATCTGAGGTGGATAAAGGTATTGTGGAAAATTAAAGATGGCTACAAATTCTTTGACATTTCCCATCAAGATGTGGGGTCTGTGTCACTTTCCCTTGAATCTGAGTGGGCTTAATCATTAATTTGACCAATAAAATACTGCAAAAGTTATGCCATGGTTTCTGGCCTGAGCCTTTGGAGAGCAGCAGCTTTCACTTTTTGTCTTTTAGAACAATTGCTCTTGAAGTCCTGAGCCACCATGGAAGAAGTCTACCAACCCTGCTTTCCAGTGACTGAGTTGCAAGAATCCTTCAAGATGCTGAGAAAATGACCCCAAAGTGAGCCTTATGTGACTCCAAGACCACATAAAGAAACTCTGAGACCACATGGAGAAGATTAGCCCAGCTAAGCCCACTTTTCTGGCTGTCCCTGCCAAGGCACTTGGGATGGCAGTAAAACTGTCTTGGATTTTCCAGACAAATTATAATGCCAGATGAATACCACCAAGTGACTTTAGTTGACACCACATGAAACAGAAGAATTTCTCAGCTGCATCCTCCCCAAATTCCTGGCCCAAAACATGATGGCATGGTTTTTCTCCACTCTTTTGGAGAAACATTTTATGCAGCAATAGATAACAAGATCAGATGTTTACTAGATTATAACAGTTTGATTAGACTATTTCCTAAGAACATTAACTTTCCTGAGTTTCAATGACATAGTCAACATGCAATTTTTAATTTGTAGTTGATATTTAAATTTCCAGTTAGGAAAAAGCTTGATGTTGAGGATTTGCACTAAATTTTAGGCCAGGATAGCAACAATTTTTATGGAAATTATTATGTACAGTATAAGGTAACTTTTTATGGGCTATAGTTACTAACCAATTTCTTTTTTTTATCATTTTTATTGTTTATTTATTATTATAATTTAAGTTCTAGGGTACATGTGCACAACGTGCAGTTTTGTTACATATGTATACATGTGCTGTGTTGGTTTGCTGTACCCACTAACTCATCATTTACATTAGGTATTTCTGCTAATGCTATCCCTCCCTCATCCTCCCACCCCATGACAGGCCCTGGTGTGTGCTGTTCCCTGCCCTGCGTTCAAGTGTTCAAGTTGTTCAGTTCCCACCTATGAGTGAGAACATGTGGTGTTTGGTTTTCTGTCCTTGTGATAGTTTGCTGAGAATGATGGTTTCCAGCTTCATCCATGTCCCTACAAAGGACATGAACTCATTCCTGTTTTTTATGGCTACATAGTATTCCATGGTGTATATGTGCCACATTTTCTTTATCCAGTCTGTCACTGATGGACATTTGGTTGGTTCCAAGTCTTTGCTGTTGTGGAATAGTGCTGCAATAAACATATGTGTGCATGTGTCTTTATAGTAGCATGATTTATAATCCTTTGGGTATATACCCAGTAATGGGATGGCTGGGTCATATGGTATTCTAGTTGTAGATCCTTGAGGAATCGCCACACTGTCTTCCCAAATGGTTGAACTAGTTTACAGTCCCACAACAGTGTAAAAGCGTTCCTATTTCTCCCACATCCTCCTCCAGCACCTGTTGTTTCCTGACTTTTTAATGATCGCCATTGTAACTGGTGTGAGATGACATCTCATTGTGGTTTTGATTTGCATTTCTCTGATGACCAGTGATGGTGAGCATTTTTTCATGTGTCTGTTGACTGCCATAAATGTCTTCTTTGAAAAATGTCTGTTCATATCCTTTGCCCACGTTTTGATGGGATCATTTGATTTTTCTTGTAAATTTGTTTAAGTTCTTTGTAGATTCTGATATTAGCCCTTTGTCACATGCGTAGATTGCAAAAATGTTCTTCCCATTCTGTAGGTTGCCTCTTCACTCTGATGGTAGTTTCTTTT